TATATTTGACTGGATGAGTACAACTCCAAAACTCAAGTTTAACATTGTCTAGGACAAGTTTACTCATTACATTGGCATGTAATTACCACCTTAACCATTCACTTCTTCCAGTACTCTGGCTGCAGGGACTTACAATCACAAGATGCAGCTGTCAACTTGTCAAGGCTTCTATAGTGGTACATTCTACACACATTATGTATGTCTACCACCTAGAAGGTTAAGGTGCAGCAGGTGCAAGTTCACCAAGTTACAAGTCATCCTGACTTGGAAGCATGTTGCCGTTTTTGTTGCAATCAAATCCTGTACTTCCCTCCTTAACTGCACTGTGGGACTACCTGCACTACCCAGACAACAGTAGTTCAAGAAAGTGGATTCTTGTCACATTACCATGGTGATTAAGTAACGGGCAATAAATGCTGGCATTATCAGCAATATCTATGTTCCACAAATTAATTTTTAAAAATACATTGGCTAAATAGATGCTGAGTTTCCTACAATGTTCCATTTGATTTTCACAGTGCTGAACTTACTGTATTTTATATTATGTAACAGTGTCAAATTCTCGACTGTACACTAATTCAAGTCCAAGTTTGTCTACTTTAAGCAATCATCAGTTGACAGTCTTAAATGGTGACAATGTGTTTGTTCGGTTTGTCATTGTACAATTTTTAAAAATTATTTTGCAGGATATGGGCATCTATCGTTCATTCCTATGTATCAAATTAAGAAGCAAAACCTCAAAGGGAATTAACTCTGTCTGAGCCATGTGCAAGTTGGCATATAGCAAAGATGGTTAGATAAATGAATGTGGGGCTGAAGACTGTTGCAGTAAAAGTTGTTTGTGGTTTGTGAGTACTTACTAAAACTGAAGAAAGTGACGTGTACTGTTGGGGGATGATCAGTACCTGAACCATGCTGGGATAGTGTTCTCATGAACCAGTTAATGGGAAGTTGAGTGGCCTTTAAAGTTAATGGGAACAAAGGATGAAATTCGAGAAGATGTGGTAAACCAATGAGTAGAGCTAAGATCAAAGAGAAATTAATATGGGAAAGGATAAACAGACCATGGCTGGAACAGAAAGACAACGCAATTGTAAGAGTAAAACACGTTGCTATAATAATGAAAGAGCAAAATTAAACATTCCATATTGTACCTGAATACACAAACAACTAATATCTTTTAGCTATTACAATGAATTGATTGCAGGATGTCATATATTAGAACCTGAGTATTGAAGGGTTTGGCATTCAGCAAGGATAAGTGGCTAAGTGACAAGTCCTTAGACTTGGCTTGACTTCATTCTAAAGGTCTTAAAAGAAGTGGCTAACAAGATAGTTGATATTACAAAATAAAGTCTGTAGGTGCTGAATATTTGGAATAAACAATATCTGAAATTACTGGAGAAACTCTGGTTTGGCAGCATCTGTGGAGTGAGAACAGTTAACATTTTGAGTCTGTCACTGGAGCTCTGAAGTCATACTGAACTTGAAACATTAACTGTGTTCTCTCAAAAGGTACTGCCAGATTTTCAGCATCCATAGAACTTTGCTTTTATTTGAGCAGCAGAAGGATCTGAGTATCCTGGAGCATCAATTACGAGAGGTTATTAATGCAGGCACATACATATCAGAATGTTATAGTTTATTGTAAAGGGAACTGAACACAAAAGTAGGAAAATTATACAGAGCATTGATGAGACCACATCTGGAGTATCGTGTACAGTTTTAGTCTCTTTATTAAGAAAAGACAATACAGTGGAACCTTTTGAGAGATTTTCTTGAGTAATAGGTGGGTTAACTTAAGCCTTGCCTGTCCAGTCTTTCATCTTATATGAGAGATGACTTGATTGAATCATAAAAGATTTTGGGGAGTGGGAGTCCTAAAGGGTGTAGAACGCAAGTATGTTTCTGTTTATGGGAGAACTAAGGATTACTCTAAAAATGAGGGATCACTCACTGAAGATAGAGATGAGAATTATTTAAAGGGTTATTCTCAAAAAATGAAGTGTGAATAGAGTCTTTGAAATCTTTTAAGACAAAGGCAGGTAGATTCTGGATAAGCAATGGGCTAAATGGTTACTGGGGCTAGCTACAGATGTGGAGTAATCAGATTAGCCATTATCTTATTGAATGGAGGAACATACTTGAATGGGTTAAGTGGCCTACTCCTGCTAATTTGTTTTGTTTGCATATTAATTGCCTTTGAGAAAGTAGTGATAACCCGTTTCTTTGAACTGCTTTCGTACACATAGAGTTGTACATCCCACAATACTGTTAGAAAGACAGTTCCAGGAATTTGATCCAGTGACAATGGTGCAGACTTCATAGAATCCACAGAATCCCTACAGTGTGGAAACAGGCCCTTCGGCCCAACAAGTCCACACTGAACCTCAGAGCATCTCACCCAGACCCATCCCCCTGTAACCCACCATATCTACACATCCCTGGACACTACGGGCAATTTAACACGGGCAATCCACCTAGCCTGCACATCTTTGGACTGTGGGAGGAAACCCACACAGTCACCCAAGGGTAGAATCGAACCCAGGTCCCTGGTACTGTGAAGCAGCAGTGCTAACCACTATGCGTCCCACTTGTGTGAAATATATATACTGTCATAGACTAGGGCTGCATGGTCTCTCGGTTCCATGTGTCAAGCCTCATTGATGTAGCGCACTGGATATCGAGCCCTACTATTTCCAGAGTTGTAAAAAACAGTTAAAGATTTTATTAAAGTATACAAAATTCTCCAAATTACCTGTCCTTTAAGACCCAAGTTAACAAAGCATGGATCAGGTTTTTGTACTTAATTAGGGTTGCTATTTATTATAAATAAATAGAATCTAGGAATAGGTAAACAACTATATACTGTTGACATACAACTCTACTTGTTAAACCACACCCTTATAAAATTTCTCAGTACACAAAAATAAAACGGGTGCTAAGGATGGAGGGAAAACTGGGATGTTTAATGGTCCCCGTTCACAGAGATGATCATTTTTGCCTTGTCAGGATTTGCTGTTTTTCAAAGCTCTCGTCTCCAGGTGCTTTCACTTGATTACAGGAGACATAGAGCAACAGATTCACAACTTATAGTCTCTGACTTATTGATTAAAAACAACAGCTTACAGCATGTGGTGAGAGAAATCAACTGACTTTCTTCAGACTTTAAGTTTTATTTTTCTGGATTGCCTTACACTTGTGTGGCACAAATGTTACTTGGCAGTTATTAGCCCACTTTGTACAGTACGATCTGCCCCTAGAATGCACAAAACAATACTTTTCACTGCATCTTGGTACATGTGACAATAATTAATCAAAACAAATCAAATCATCCGGTCCATGGAATGCTTCAATATCTGAAGAGTTGCAAATGTTGTTGAACATTGAGTGATGAATACTCTAACACCCCATTTCTGACCACATAATAGCAGGAAGATTATTGATGAAGCAGCTGAAGATGGTTGCACCTAAGGCACTACCCTGAGGAATTCCTCCATTGATGGCTTTGGAGATGAACAATTAACAACAACAACTGCCTTATTTTGTGCTCAGTATAACTTTAGTCACTAGAGAGTCCCTGCCCCCACTTCCCCTGATTCTGATTGACTCTTGTTTCGTGTGGGGTCTGTGATGCCACACTATGTCAAGCACAGGCACTCTCGCCTCTGGTGTTAGGCTTTTTGTTCATGTTTGGACCAAGATTGTAAAGAGGTCAAGAGCTGAGGAGTGTTGGTGGAACTGAAATTACGTATTTCCAAGGAGCTGAGCAGCTTCATTCCTATGAATGTTTTGATGTCTATGCCTTTGGGGGTCACGATGTTGAGGTGCTCTCGTGGATTTCAACTTGCCTCAGCACTGCTAACCTCTCCAAGTCAGGTAGCTGAGCTGCTTACCGTTGATTAATCTGGCAGCATTGTGACAATAAACACAGAGGCCTCCCGTTAGGAAGCCAACAGCAGGAAGATTGCAACATCAGTCTTGCTGCTAAAAATTATGGTGTTGAATTCTCATAGGTCAGACACAAGGGTCCAGATTAAGCTCTTTATACAAAATTAAAACAGACTGCACCATTTATCATCCAAAAGGCAGCTCATCCAAAACAAACATAGAAGATAGAAGCAGGAGGAGGCCATTTGGCCCTTCGAGCCTGCTCTGCCATTCATCACGATCATGGATGATCAAACTCAATAGCCTAATCCTGCTTTCCCCTCATGACCTTTGATTCCATTCGCCCCAAGTGCTATATCTAATCGCCTCTTGAATACATTCAATGTTTTGGCATCAACTACCTTGTGGTAATGAATTCCACAGGCTCACCACTCTTTGGGTGAAAAAATGTCTCCACATCTCCATCCTAAATCGTCTACTCCAAATCCTCATACTTGGACCCCTGGTTCTGGACACACCCACCATCGGGAACATCCTCCCTGTGTCTATCCTGCCCAGTCCTGTTAGAATTTTATAAGTCTTTATGAGGTTTCCCCCTCATTCATGTGAACTCCAGTGAAAACAATCCCAACCTAGTCAGTCAATCTCTCAAAATCAGCCCAGTAAACCTTCGCTGCACTGCCTCACAAGCAAGAGCGTCCTTCCTCAGAAAAGGAGACCAAAATTGCACACAATATTCCAGGTGTGGTCTCACCAAGGCTATGTATAGTATAACTGCAACAACACATCCCTGCTCCTGTACTCGAAACCTCTTGCAACATACCATTTGCCTTCTATATCGCCTGCTGCACCTGCATGCTTACCTTCAGTGACTGGTGCACAAGGACACCCAGGTCCTGGTGCACACTCCCCTCTCCCAATTTACAGCCATTCAGGTAGTAATCTGCCTTCTTGTTTTTGCTTCCGAAGTGAATAACCTTACATTTATCCACTTAATATCGCACCAAATACAGGATGAGATCATTAGCTCACAATTAGCAGTGGGACATGAATCCACTACTTCTAACTCACACATGAAGATGCAAAAGTAATACTACTTATGCTTTGAATCAGTGTTTTAGATATTTATTGCATTTTAATTTCAAAGTTACCATGTTCAAGCTAAGTCTTCTCTTAATTATACAGTCCAACCCTGCTTTCTGCTGGTTAAAAGGAATAAAGATCTTGCAATGAATCAACAAGTTACTTTTTCATTCAGTGGCATCTGTAGATTCTAAAAGATTTTTAAATTGTCTTTTTCTTTCTAAATTATCTTTTGCTTTTCTTTTCTTCTCTTGTTTTTTCCATCGCTGTGCTTGTTTTTGCTTCACAATTTCACTGTTTACACCTTTGTAATGTACATCAAGCTTTTCTTGTAAAATTGTTCTGGCTATTTTTCTGTTCTGATCTACTGATCTGGTTTGATGGCACTGGAAAGGAAATAAACACACTTAGAGTCTTTGTTTACAAATAGTTGAACCTGCATAACAATAGAACATAGAAAATTACAGCGCAGTACAGGCCCTTCGGGCATCGATGTTGTGCCGACCTGTGAAACCAATCTGAAGCCCATCTAACCTAAACTAAGAAGTCATAAGAAGCATGCTACATCAATTTTACTGCATATTTTGCTTAGAATCGCCTTTACGAACAGCTACCTTCACTACAATTCCAGTTGGAACATGCTTCAGCACTACACAGTTGCTGGTTTTATTGGTTGCTTGGCCCCCAGGACCACGTCCTCGGACAAACTGTTCCTCTAATTCATCTTCTATTATAACAGGCAAGTCCAGAAAGCTCTTTTTCCCAGCAAAAGGCATCGATAAAGGTGCATGTTTGACATCCAGAAATGGCTTTGCTGGACTGGTTGAATTCCATTTTCGCAAAGAAAGTGCCTGTGCTCTTGTTAATGACAGTAACCAATTGTATAAAATGGAGGCAGTCATTGGATGCAGAGGTTGGATTACAAGTTTTCTGAAAAATACAAAATAATGTTAGTTAACTGGTTAAAATTAAATACAGGGAAGCAGATGCTTAAATGCTGTCTACTTACTTCTCCTGCTATGATCAAGGCCCTTTTGTCAGCCCTAATACCATTTTACTGATGGTCATTGTCATTGGACTGATCATCTGTCGTGGAAGCTGCCAACTGTACAAGTAAAAACGATTGTCATGTTTGCTTAGGTTTCTGTTACTGTACATAAAAATACTTTGCTCTTTCACATTTCTTGTCTTGATACATGCCATCTGCTGATACCAAATTCTGATCCATAAAGCTAACCTTATCCGACAAAACATCTTCACAAAAAAAAGTTGATTATATGTTATTGTACAGGGATAACAAACTAACAGTAACATTCTCTAATATTTTACTATCACAGAACTCTAGCATTATTCGTGCAATGACTGCACAGAAATCATTTCAGAGCATATACTTGCTATTTCCCATAATTTTATATCATCACTTCCTGAAGATTTCCAGACTTCCATTCCAATCTCAATCCTTCTCAGCCATGCATTTTTCCTCCTTTGTTTTCTCTTGTTTGTTCTATTATGGCAGCATAAAGAAAGCATCTAGTGCTCCCATTTACTGCAGCTACAGCATTATTTGACAGCGTTAAATCTGTGGTACTGATCGCATTTGGTTGTTTTCTTCTAAATGGCCTAGAAAATAACTTGAGGCCACTGGTGAAATAGCTGCACCACAAGATCAGCTAGCCAAACTGTCACATGATTGCTACTTTGAAATGATTAATGGCCCTGAAAAAATGTACAAGCTTAGTTTATTTTTATCAGAAAAGATTAGGAATTACAAAATGCATGTAAAAGTTTTAATTTTGATTAGACTCCTATGAAGGCTGAGATACAATGATCACATGATGCACAGATTCTTCCTGCTTCATTCCAAAGCACCAACCGTAGATCAGCACATTTCACAACTAGTTCACCACAAAACCAATATTTACAAAACACAGAAAACATAGGGAAAGCAATGGTGATTTTTAAATTCATTCTTCATTACAAAGTGACATATAAAGTTCATTTTGCCTCTGCTCACATGTTTGAGGTGACAGTGGGGGGCAGGGTATTTTCATGATAGCGACCACAAAACTGTATGTTTCAGGTTGTTATGGAAAAGGAGAAAGATGGTCTGCAAAAAAGGGTTTTTGACTGGGATAAGGCAAACGTTATTAAGTAAGGCAAGATTTGGCTAAACTAGACTGGGCACAGCTACTTGAGGGTAAATCTACAGCAGAACAGTGAGACGCATTCAAAAAGGTACTGAGGGAGTTTAAGCCCAGCATATTCCCTTTAGAATATAGAATATCTTTTATTGTCATGTACACTCCATTGTAGAAGTACAGTGAAAAGCTTTCACAATTAATGCCTCTTATGGCACCATCTTAGGTACAAGTACCTAGGTACAAATCTTGGATACAAAACAGGAATTAAAAAGTTTCAGAGATAGTAGGAACTGCAGATGCTGGAGAATCTGAGATAACAAGGTGTAGAGCTGGATGAACACAGCAGGCCAAGCAGCATCAGAGGAGCAGGATTTCTGAAGAAGGGTCTAGGCCCGAAACATCAGCCTTCCTGCTTCTCTGCTGCTGCTTGGCCTGTGTTCATCCAGCTCTACACCTTGTTATCTCGGGAATTAAAAAGTATTTGCATTACTTTACAGAGTTTAAAATGAAAGTTAGAAATAAACCATCATTAAAAGATTGACGTTACAGTCAGGTAAAAACTTCAAATAAACATTACATTGTGCTAGCTCAGCACACAGCCTCCGCATGTGGTTTGACCACCTGTGCCAAATCCCAGTCCAACTGCCAGCTCTACTCCGCTCCAAGCCTCCAGTCTGCTCCCTACCGGCACTCAGCTGCTCCAAGCCAAGTTCCAGGACTGCCTGCCCCGTGCCAGTCTCCTCCAGGGACTCGCAGCCCGTGTCTGTGGCTGTTCCAGGAGTTGCTTCTGGGACTAAAAGAGAGAAAAAAGGAAAGGAAGAAGTGGAGAAGAGGAACTCCAGCAGGAGTGTCTTACTCCACCGCATCTTGCCGGGTGAAACGTAGGTGCAACAAACCCAGAAAAGCATGGTGTCCAGAAATATTCAGGACTGGATAAGAAGGAAAAAAAGAGGCATTTAACAGGCACAAAGGAAGTTAAACAACAGAGACCCTGAAGCAGTACAGGGGGATTCAAGAAAGCAAAGAGGGAGTATGAGAAAATACTGATGGGCAAGATTCAGGAGAAGCCCAAGATATTCTACAAGTTTATCAAGGAGAAGAGAATACTTAGGGAAAGAGTAGGACATATTATGAACCAAGGGGGCAATCTGTGTGAGAGCCAGAGAACACTGGCAGTGTTTAATGTGTACTTCACACCTGGCTTTACTGGAGAGAAGAAGGATGCAAGTATAGAATTCGACAAGATAGACTGTGAAGTTCTTGAGCAGATTAATGTAAGTAGTGACGAGGTATTGGTGCATTGAAACTTTTGGTGGATCTAAAAGGGGACGAATCCCCAGGTCTGCAGGAGTTGCATACCAGGTTGTTGTGGGAGACAAGTGAGGAAATTACAGGGGCCTGACACAAATTTATAAAATTTAGCCACAGCAGAGATGCAGAGGACTGGACGACATGTTCGGCAAGATTGTGGCAGGGAAGTCACTTCATTTGGACCTCCACTCTGCTCGCCAGTTCCCTTTCCTTTTTTCTTCTTCTCTCTCCTCTGCAGTAATTCTACACTCCCAGCCCTTTTAACTACCTACCTAAGGAGTCAGGTCGCAACCACGAACCATGTGGTGGGAGCTGAAAGTGCGGGTCGTGTCCTGCAGCGACGGCGGATCAAGCGTGGGCTGGTTTAACAGCGACTGCAGGCCAGAAGGACAGCGGCAGAGAGAGTGGGCCAGTAAGGTGGCACGGTGGGCCTTTCGCATGGCAGTGGCTTCCCGAGTGTCCTAGTGATTGGAGTGGGCCTACACCATTATGGAGATGGGACTTGGGACTCTGCGATCTGGACTTTTCTTTTCCTGGTTTACCTTTTGGCTCTGTTAAATCTTTTAATTCTGGGTTTTGTAACCAAGTGGGCACAAGTGAATGGCAACTTTAGTGTACTCTTCGTTGTGCTTATGTATTCCTATACTTAGTACATGTGACAAATAAATAATGTGCCTCCACTTTAAAAGAAGGTTGGCAGATATAGCTTAGTGAGTCTGTAGGGAAACTATTGGGAAAAAAAAGGGAGAAAATTAATCTTTGTTTAGATTAAAAAGTTTTGATCAGGAATAGTCAGCATGGCTTTGTCAGAGGGCGGTCATACCTAACAAATCTGGTTTAATCTTGAGGAGGTAACCATGTGTTTGGACGAGAGTAGGGTAGTTATACGAATTTCAGCAAAGCCTCTGACACGGTCTTGCATAGGAAACTATTAAAGGTAAGAGCTCAAGGGAACCAGGGTAACTTGGCAAGATAGATCCAAAATTGGCTGATAGGATAGAATAGAGTGATAGTGATAGGAGATAGAGGATGGTGGTGGAGGCTGTTTGTGTGACAGAAGCCTAGTGTGCAGTGGTGTACCACAGGGATCAGTGCTGGGTCCCTTATGGTTTGTGATATTCATAAAATTATGTAGATGAGAATGTAGGAGATACAGTAAGTAAATTTGTGGATGGCAAAAAGATTGACTGGGTGGCTGACAATAAGGAAGGCATTAGATTACAGGAAGATATAAATGGATTGGTCAGATTGACAGTTCAGTGGCAGATGGAATTTAACACTGATGTGAGGTGATGCACTTCAGAAAAGAGAACAAGACAAGGGAATACTCAATGAACGGCAAGATATTTGGAAGCTCAGAGGTACAGAGAGACCTTGGGATTTTTATCCACAGATCCGTAAAGGTTGGAGTTAATAGGGTAGGTAAGAAGGCATATGGGACACTTGCCTTTGTCAGTCATGGCATAGATTGTAACTGCAGGGAGGTCATGTTGGAGCTTTACAGAACTTTGGTTAGGTCACAGTTGGAGTATTGTGGCAGTTCCAGTCATCTCACTATAGGAAGGATATCATTGCACTGGAGGGAGTGAAAAGGAGATTGACCAGGATGTTGCCCGAGATGTAGCATTTCAGCTATGGAGAGGTTGGATAAACTCCGGTTGTTTTCTTTGGAGTAGACAAGGTTGAGAGGGTCCTGACTAAAGTTCATCAGATTTTGAAAGGTAAGGACAGAGTGTATAGAAAGCAGTTGTTCCCCTTAGTCGAAAGGTCAATAACAAGGGGGCATAATTTTAAAGGGTAATTGAGGAGGGAAACCTTAATCTTCAAAAGTATTGGATAAACACCTGAAATATCATAACCTTCACAGCTATGGGACTAATGCAGAAAAGTTGGACTCGTGCAGGTAGTACATTTTTGGCGATACCGACTTGATGAGCTGTACTCTATGATTCTATGATTATCAAAGTGGAAAGAATTGGTGGAATATGATTCCATGGTTCAATATCTTATCCAAATAAGAGTTGTTCAATTTAGAATCTAGGTAATGATCATGAAAAAAAAACACATTGCAACTTTTATTTTCATGGCCACAAAAGTATAATAAAGTCTATTTATAGAAGTTATATCCCTTTTCTTACATATTTAGACGTAACAACTTAATAGACTGTTCAGCATCATGCTTCCCTAACGATATACTTGTGATTATTGGTAGGCAATTCATTTAGGACAAGACAGCATCAGTCAAAGCTGACCTGCGCACACCTGAAGAATACATGCATTTTAAACCAGGGTTTGCTGAATATCAATCTTAAGAAGGAATGCTGGGGTTCTCGTGACGTGTGGCAGTGTCCCTACCTCTAGGTTAGAAGGTCCAGTATCAAGTCCAGTTGCCCCAGAGGTGTGTAACTAAAGTCTGAACAGATTAATTAAAAACATCTAATTAAGAATGTGAACAAAAACAAAGTTGCTGGAAAAGCTCAACAGGTCTGGCAGCATCTGTGAAGGAGAAAACAGTTAACGTTTCGGGTCCGGTGACCCTTCCTCAACTGATGGTGGCTGGGAAAACGTCAGTTTATATGCAGAAAATAGGGAAGTGGGTGGGGTAGGGAGCAAACGATAGGATAGAGCCCAAAGAGAGAGAAAGACAGTTGGA